GATATATTTTTCTTGTAGCACAAAGAGTTGGCGACACTTTACCGACTTCGGCAGTTGTTTGTCAAAGATTTGCAGGCTCGATTAAAAGTGGTAAGTCATTATATCACTTGTATTTTCGTCTTTATTCGTAAAACACATCTCCAGTTCTTGCCTTTTGTTTTTCCATGTCATGGTACATGCATGTCATGGTACATGCATGTCATGATACATGCATGTCATGGTACATGCATGTCATGGTATATGTATGTGATGTCATGTCGCGTCATGTCATGTCAGTGTTAACATCCTGATAGGTCACATTAATAGTTCCTATTCTTTTTTTTTTTTCGTTTTTCCTTTCTTTGATGCTCTTTCATTCGATGCCTTCGTGTTTACGTCACACAACCTTACGCTGGTTCATGCTATGTCACGTATACCTTGCTCATGTGTAGTATATTCCCCATCGTATGGCGCACGTGCCAAACACGTGAAACTGTAGAACATTGTTTAGGTGACTAACGCGTTGTTGGTCTTTCTCCTCCCCAGACCAACGCGGACACGGACGCAGAGGAGGAAGGGGGAAGTCAAGCACAAAAACAAAAGATTGCTTTTTTAGAGAATAATTTGGACCAGCTAACGAAGGTCCATAAACAAGTGAGTATTGCTTTGCCTCATTTCACTCTCAGCCTTGATGTCAAAATATTAAATCTCCTCACCAATCGCCATACATTTCTTTACATATCGCTCGTGAGAATTTGGCGATACACCACGAGAGTGTTTTCCAGTTGATCGTTGTTTAATTCTCGTCACCTTCGACTTGGATAGCCTGTTGATACTGGAAGGAGAAACCAATTTTTGATCACTTGGGCTAGTTGATTTCTCTTTCTGAAACTGACGCGTTTACTCTTTCTTTTATCTTTTTTTTTTCGCACCTCCTGTGAGGCGACGGACAAATCTTTGATGTTCAGATGTTTAATTCCTCAATAATTGGAGTTAGTGTAGAGTTTTTGGCCATTAAACCTTGTTCGACTCGAGCGCAGTGAAAAATAATGGATTTTAAAACTTTTCCACTGTAAATTTCTCTTAAACGAAAGAAGGTATTTCAAAAGGGCAAACACCATTCCTCTTTATGTTGAAAAACCTTTAAAATAAACACCAATTAATTTTTACGTCATAGACACTTGAAGATTTTGTGTGAGAAACTTTTGATGTAATGTCTCCCAAATCGCGGGGTTTTTTTGCGCAAAACGCGAACCTATTTTTGCTTACAGATGAATGCGATTTGCCTGCTCAATAGCTTAAAGAAACTATAGAAATGTAGATTTACACTTTTAGTCTTGAAATAAGCTACTATTTCTGAGCTTCGAAGTTGTAAAGCATGTAAGGAATGTAGAAGTCTAAAAGACGTTCGTTTTTAAGAGTTGTCTGTGCCCGTGACTTAGAACTGTGGTAGTTCTTAATAGTGTAAATGTTTTATTTCAAACAGCGGAAAGCCTTGCAGAGAGTCAAGATGTTGAAGCAGAAAATCAACGTTCTTTCATTTGCGTGTTAGACGCGCTGAAATAATTCTTTTATTTTTACGGGAATTCCTTTTTTTATTATTTAGATACCCTATTAGAAGTACGGCAACTTTAATTAATCCCTCCATTAAGGTCAGGCTTGGATGTATTTTGATATTTAATACGGCTTCAGAGTTGCGAGTACTCACAGTTGTGAAATATTTTATATTTGACTCGCATTGGAGTGGTTTCATTGTGGCAGTCAACGAATACGTGAAAAGGACAGGAACACTTATAGAATTAGAGAGTCTTAAGATGCGACTTGAAATGGGTTTCTATTTGCGGAGGAGGGCAACATTAATTAATCCGCTTTGAGATCAATGTACTCTAATATTTTGATATTGCATACAGATTTTCAAGCAATGTAAGTAATTGCCTGCAATTTCAACAGTCAAGGCTGTTGAGAACTGTTGTAAACAGGCGCAAATTATGCCATTATGCATTCGTGTTACTTCGTGTTAAAACTCAATGACAAAATATTGGTAATTTATTTTAAAAGGATGTTCTCTCAATATCAACAAAGTTCTAAAAGTAAATAATGGATGGACACAGCAATACAGTTCTTGTAATTAGATCAATACGGGAAGGTTTAAATAAAATGAAACATTTTTTCTCACCGATGTAAAATTCTTCACCTCTGAAACACGCTAAACGATCGATATACTTTTATGAAGAAGCCGGAAAGGAAACTTATCCTTCAAAGATGTTTGATCGAGAAATCCTTGTAGTTTCGCTTTGGCGAATCCGAGTTGAGAACTCGTCATCGGTGTTGGCTTTGAAGAACTGTTCAACTAGAGTTTTGGATGTTGCAACATCTCCTTTCTGTTAGCAACGTGTTTTTGAAAACTACAACGGTAGAACTAGTTTATTCAAGTGTAATTTCAAATGAACTGAACCCTTGGGACACAAAACAGCTGTTCAATAATTACGAGTTATAACTTGATCAGTCAAGAGGTGTTTCGTCAGCGCGAGCGATTGAGGAAAATTGACTGAACTGGGGTGCTGTGGTGCGTTTTTATATAGAATCAATATTGGTCGCATACCAGAAACTGTCATTGTTGACTATATGGTGCTAACGCGTCTTTAATTCCCTCATATAGGCCCTGTTGTGATATGATTAAATCGATTATTTGGTTTCTTAATCTGATTTGAATATTACTCTTTTTTTTTTCTGACAGCTCGTTAGAGATAATGCCGACCTGAGGTGCGAACTGCCCAAGCTAGAGAAGCGCCTGCGAGCAACGCAAGAGCGGGTGAAGTCATTGGAGCAGGCTCTGAAAGAGGCCAAGGAAGGCGCGCAGAGGGACCGGGCACGATATCAGAAGGAAGTGGAGAGAATTCGGGAATCCATGAGGCAGAAACAGGCGGCTGCTAGGAAGGGTGCCCAAGGACATATCGGTATGGTTCCGATATCAGCTTCCTTTAAGAAGGGATATGGGTCACCCAACATTTAGCACAGTGTGTTTTGGAGTCAAGTTTGTAAGGCGTTTCACAAGATATACCTTGATGCTTATTTCGACATTTCTTTCTTCATTTTCCAAAAATGAGTTTTACAATCTTGATACTTTCACTCCGATCGTGGAGGAAACGACTGGTCGATTTCGACCGCAAAACTTTGTCGCGTTTAACAAGTTTAGCACACGGATTGATTCGGGTAAATCAAATGTGCGTCTTGCTTGTTGATTTAAGCGTACGACATGAAAAATATCGTCGAATTCTGAACTTAACGTCTTTTAAAACCCTAGCAATCGTAGCCACAGACAATGTTAAGTGCTGAAAGTTGTATGCGATTTTTGTGTGACGCGAACAGTGCAGGTCACTGTAGTTGCATGCAGCAACAAAGTTGCTCTCTTTAAATCGACCCTAACACTGCAGAACGCTTACAAGTAGCGTTTCCAAGGTGTTTTGCAGATCGTCTCAATTCATGTATGTTACTCATCAGTTATCTTTCATTTTCCATCCCAGCCAAACCTATCCGCCCTGGCCAGCAGCCAACATCACCCAGTGTCCGTCCCAGCAGCAGTTCCGGCATTGGTAGTGCCTTATTGGGTATGACACGTCTGGCTGGCGGAGCAGTCATGGGTTCCAACGTTCCCAACAGTCCCAGCACGCCCAGTATACCCAGCTCGCCCAATGGTGCCACCATAGTGACGCCCGTAATTCGTGGCGGGAAAGGCTCGGAACCCGTGGTGACGTATAGCAAGAGGATACGAAACGCAGTTAGTACGGAGTCTCTTAATCGCCCCTTGCCACAGGGGAGTCCTAGGTGAGTTTTAATAAGGTGTCCGACAATAGATTTCAGCTCTTGCCACCTCTTATACTTTGATGGATCAATACTTCCACTCTTTCTCAGAACCACGATAAAACCTCACATCTTATCTGTGATTTTAATTTGCTTTTTGTTAAAATTGATGTAGTTTCGCTAATCATGTGCAAAGTCAACTGAAATTCCGTCAGCCAAATGAGTCATTGATGTTTTCCTTGTCTGACGCCTGTTGCATGTTTCTGCTTCTGCTTGGTTTTCTGCGGTTTCGCCGCCATCATAATTTGTTCGGTGATTGTTTTTTTGTGTGTGTTGAAACCAGAAACTAACATCATAACACAACTCATCTCCAAAGATAGCTAATTCCAAATTTGGGAATAACGTGTGCCATCCATGCCCGGGGCAAATTTCCATCTAAAATGCCAAAGAAGGGCATCAATTTTAACATCGCATTACGTTTCTTCGGTGTGGGAGGATACCGTTACAATAACTTGGTAGTGAGGGCAGACATTTGTTTTTTAACTTTGTTTTATCGATCGAGTCGGTCGGTTAGTAGACAAAAGAGGTGTGACGGACAAAACGACGTTTTGTTACCTGCTATGGATGTAATACGCTGTTTCTTTACCTGCTATACGTCAACGTTTAAAACGCACCATGTTTCATTCGACTTCCTTACAATTCTAGTGTAAATCGGAGAAAAAAAAATAAGAAAGATGTAAAAAATTTGTCTCCAAGCGGCTGGATTTCTTCTCAATCGCTTCTCGGTGGTTTTATGCGACCATCTTGATAACGGTGTTAGTTACTGGAGGGTCGGAGCTCTGGTATAGACTGGTAGTCTTGTCTTCACAAGTCACAGAGCAGACACCCAACAAAATGTCAAGTGTCATTATGGTTTTAGAAGAATCGAGATAATAAATTATGAAACTGGAGGTCTTCAACTTCACTGGCCCAAGATGGCAGACGGTCAAACGAAGCTCGCACTCGCTTCTTGCCTTGCCTTTGCGGTTTTACGCCTTGTACACAATGCTTCCATACCCGGTGGGGTGACCAAGATTGAGCGGGAAAAGTTGGCGAGTCACACAGAGCTTTTAGAAGGACTCAAACAGGCCGTGCGACTGGAAAACTCGCGAGAGCCCAAGCCGTCATTCAAGTTTGTTTACTTGCCGTACACGCTCGACGCGTCGAGCCAAGTTGTTCAAGGAATAATGTACCGCGCGAACGTAAAGATTGCGCCTTCAAATTGTTTGAATGCTTTGAACGAGACCAGGGAAGGAATCGAAGCGTGTGGAGTGGACTTCCTAAAGCCTGAAGTATTAAAGCAAGAGAAATGTTGCGCGTTTGAAATCTGGTCGCGGCCTTGGTTAGCGGGACAAGAACGCTTAGTGGTTCAAAAAGCGGAATGTACACCGTCTTTTACAGCAGGACAAGCACAGTCTGGTCACTTCCGTGTGACGATGAAGCTTAGTGTTTATCCTGTGTGTAACTTAGTAAAGGGCTGAACAAAGAAACCATATCGCTTTCACTTCAGTCATACTTCAGACGATATGTAAAATAGACTCGAAGACAACAAAAGCCTCAAAACGACAATTTAGTAACATAGACAAGCGCCAATGAAATTATTCTAATCCGAAAAGGAACAAGGAAGTTTAACGTGAAAAATTTAGGCTAATGTTTCTGACAAGATCCGCTTCTCTTCTGAAACGTGATCGACATGCAATTTCTCCGGACAACATTAATAAGATGTCGAAAATAAAGATAGTCATCAGTTTGGGGATACTCTTAATGTATCTCTGAATTCTCAGAACCATAGTATTAAGTTGATATGGAGTTCAGTTGTGAGAATTTATATTTCAAGCTTGCCAGCTTATCGATTTTGGTGCAGAAATTTTCTCCAAACCGCTGAACGACCAAGTTTTCAAGGACGTATGTCTTGGAATAAAATATCTTTATGAAACCCTAGGTTAGGCGGTGTTGCAGAAGACCTGTTGCAGCATTCGGTCAACGGATTAAATGCTGTACAATACGAATCATTTTGAAGTTGGTTTTAAGCTGCAAGTATCAGAAAAAATTGTAACTTTGCTTCAGACGCCGTCGTATCTACAGTTCTACGCTTCAGTAAGTTTCCCCAATATGTATTAATGCAAAATCGTCCGTACAGTTTTAAAATGTTTATTTTTACGAATACATCATTATCGACATAACGAAAAGGGTGAGTTTTAAGACATTGAAATCAGGCGTTAGTGGTGGAAGTGTATTCCTCATTGAAAGATCTTCTCTTCTTTGGTTCTTTCAGTTTGAATGGCGCCCATTCCTCGCCAGATTACGAGAAAAGGCGCGGTTCAGCAGCTTCAACTGGCGCGGTTACTCACTCCTCCAATGCGCACATGCGCGGTGCGGCCAGCGTGGACCGCCTCAACTTAATGGGTGAAGGGAATTCTGGACGAAAATTGCCGTCGATGCCGGACTCAGTGCAACGGTCACCGTTGAAAATTTCAGGTCGTGAAGGAGAAATAGCAGCTCTGAAGAGGAGTAGCAGACGGTCAGCGTCATCACACAATTTAGTGAATAATGCAGATGGTAAGCAACTGTTTATAACAAATTATCGTGTGTTGGGTATCTGATCTTTATTAGCGTGGATCTGTTCGACTTTTTGTCTCTGTTTTTGCCCTAGTTTTAGTTTCGTTTGTGAAGATATATCAAACACTCAAGACAGTGACCATATTTCCAAAGTTCGTCAAAAATACTTCGTTGTTTGTCGTATTTTCCACTCTTGTGTTTGTGGTTGGAAGTGCGGTACAACACGATCTCTCGTGCTTACATGTATGTACCATTTTCTGATGGGTTCCTTCTATTTGATGAGTGAAATACTCTCAGAAGATCACTTACGGGAGTTTGAAGTCGTCATTGAAACAAAGGATTTTCTTGTTACGCTATCTTAATTTCTTATGTGTTCCGTTTGGTATTTACGCAGGTGGGCCATGGGAGATGAGGAAACAATCAGCCTCTTAAAGTCTAAATGTCTGGCACAAGACATGTCATATGGCGTGGCGGATGTGAATTGATTTCTTCTATTGCGTTACGCGTGACTTATGTGAAGTCATAAAAATAACTGCTAGCCAAATGTGCCTCGTCAGGCCAACTGCTGTTAGTGATCTAGTTATTGACATTGTTTATTTCATGACACACAACTCGACGTTAGGAGAATGCGAAAAGAGATCGAAAACACAAGTATTTACAACTGGTTTTTGGATAACCAGAAACGCATGATCTAGCACAGGAAAAAGTTGGTGGGGGAGGTGGGAAAATATCCCAGGGGGGATATCCAAAGTATGTTATCCCTGGGGAGGCTTCTCTATATACCTTATTGTGTAGAAAGATGTTTATTTTTATCCCTAAAATGATACTTCCCTGAACCCGCAGGAAGTATCCTCAGTGTGTTATCCCTGGGGGACTTTTATATATCCTCCTTGGGATTTTTCCAGAGGCGTCGGTAGAGGAATAGGGCTTATTTCGGGATAAATTCCAGATAGACAAAAATTGGTGTCGTGCAAAATGAAGCATTTATATTTTGTGTACTTTGAGTCCTATTTAAACCGTTACTAAGTTTCTTCCACTGGACTGAAAAACATTTTAGCGTATCGGTATAATTTCGATTTGTTTTACTTCTAATCTTTTTAACTTCATTATCTGTAAATAATGTTGTTCTACCATCTTTTTTCTTTGTTTGCTCTATCCGTTTCAAATAGCAGAGGGGTTAGTTAGCGTCATATGGCTTTGAAAAACTGTAACTTTTATTTAGACCTGGGCTGAAAAATTTGCTTTTTACGTTACAGGTCGTTTACGATTTACTTTATCCATAATGAAGCCTGCGTTTGGTTTTGGCCCGACTGGAAACATTTCCGAGAGAAACGAAATTTTCTCATCTATTCCAACCGATTTTCCAACAGGATTGGCCGACCAGAATGGTCTGACACAAAACTTGATCACAAAGTGTTTTTTGTTGTTGTTGTTGGTTTTTTTTTTGAATGAATTTAAACTAAATGTCTTCCCTCTGAACCTAACAAGCGTTTAATACCAGATGTTGTTAATAACGATGACTTATTACTGTGACGTATACGCTTCTCGACAAGCAGCCTTGATCCCAGACTCTCTCCTTTTCCTCCCTTGTCGTTGGCAAAGGCGAGAGAGCCTGGGAACGAGGGTGCTCGACAAGGAACAACTGCGTTTGTTGTGAACTGATTATGACACAAAGTAAATGGTAAACAACCTGTATGGTTCTCTTCAATGAAGGCTTTCCCAAATTTACAGCATGCTGCACTTTGCTAACGTACTGTTCAACCGATTTGATGTACTTATTTTGTTAAACGAAGCTGGTGCTTTTCAAGTTTGTGCCGATAGCAAACTTTTGTTATTTTTTTTCGCTTTGTCGCTTGTTTTTTTTGTCATCAGGAAAATCTTCACTAGTGCAGAAATTTCAAAGCCAAAGCTAGTAACAATAGAGTTAACAAACCCAGGGCAAATTTTATTTATTACTTGGAAGGTGTAGGTCGTATCTTCCGAGAAATAGCGAAGATTGTCCGAGAAATTGCCGAGGATTTCCGAAAGATATCACGTGGTCCTTTCGGTGTCCGAAGGTCTAGTAACGTGAAAATTTATTTTAAAACGTAGAACATTTTATCGCTGTTAGTTTACGGAGGAGTTTGCCAGAACGGTGTGCGTCCAGCTGGGAACATTTTGGCGGTAATTAGGAACGCGCGGCTAAATGAAGTAGATAAATTTAATTGTTACAAGAGTCTATTTTTAAATTTAGGTGTCTACAACATTGAGAGGGTCGGTTTGACAGCCTAGGTGGGACATACTGCATGTAAACTGAGCCCGGGAGCTTTTTTATTGTTATTATTTGAGCTTTTCTCGACTGAACTGCTGTTTAAGACGATGTGACGTTAATTAAATTCAGTAGTTTCGAGAAGACAATAAAAACCGACTCGCAAAAAAAATTGTATTCCTTATTTATTATGTAATAAGTTATCGAGCAATATCTTACTCTCACCTAAAAACACTCCAGATCTCGTCCACAATTGTGCGAAAAAATACTTTTCTTTACCACACGTATAGCGACTGGTTACTAACAAGGGGTGGTGGCGCGGCGTTTTTTTTTTTGTTTTTTTGTTTTTTTTTGCCATTTTGAAACAGGGTACGGAAATGAGAAATGAGAAAATTTGGATGTGAGAAAATGACGCTCCACAAGCTTTGTAAAATTTTACGCAGTTCGTAATGTCAAGACTATCTGAGCTGGAAAGTTTGAGTTGTCCAGACCGGCTTTTTCAGTATGGTAAAGGAGCATATGTAAAATCTCGTGATTCTCAGTGAAGTATTTTGGCAGAGTCCTACCGTTATGATTACATTCACTGCCGTCTTTCCGACCAGCCCCCAAACCCTCCACCTCTTTTGAATGTGTTTTTAACAAGCGCTCCCGTTCAACTGAGCAGTCCTATTCTGTTTCGATTCAATAAGCGCCGTGAGAGTACATGGAGAACAACTGAAGTTCATCTTAGCTCCGAATTGCTCACATTCTCGC